AATTTAAATTTGATAAATCAATTTTTATTAAGATAAATTTATTTAACGTTATTATATATTAAATTAAATTTGATAAATCAATTTTTAATATATATATATTTATTTTAATAAAAATATAAAATTTTTTTTAAACTAAATTTCGTTTTTGCAAGTAATGGATTTGAAATGCATTTATTCTGATGTACGTACACACATAGTGGATGCATGCAAAAATATTAAGATGAATAAATACAAGTGTTAAAGTGTGTAAAATATAAATATCAATATGCACGCATACAATTAAATACATGAATCTATAATAATTATGACACATAACAAATCTAATAAATATGTAACAACCATCTATGCCGAAAAATGATTTTAAAATAATATACACAAAAAATATCACGAATACGAATTTGGCTTCAACGTATCATGTGACATCTGTGGTCTTAATGTTTTTAACGTTAATCGTGGTTTAAGGTGTTTAGAAGTTCCTTTAGCGTTTCTCGGATCTAAGTTCGTTACACCTTGTGTCTCAACATTTAGTAAGTCTGATGATATATACATATCTGACGCGTGTGATGGACGTCGGTTTGTTATCGAGGTTACGCCAAGTTGAGAAGGAGCTTTGTCGAGTATTGGTCGTTGACGAATTGGAATAAGGCCTAATAAAAATGATTAAAATATTAAAAAATTAAAGAAAATTATAAAATTAAATGAGCGGAAATTTCAAAGATTAAATAAATTGACGTACGTTTCCCATTAACATTATAAGAAATTCTTATTCCATGTTGCAAAGATGATATCGCATATTCGATTTTTCCCATCCATTCAGCTTTCTCTTCACCAGTATTTGTGCGGACTGTATGCCTTAAGTCACCTTTTGCCGTTTTTGTAATTAATTGAAAACAAAATGGCTTATCTGACGCGTCATCATCAATATCTATAATCGAACAATTATTTAAATCGAGTTGACCTCTGTAAGTAAGCTTTCCTCCTTGAGAATTCGAACAAAATAGTAATAAATCGTTAAATAGGAAATGAGTTCGTATTTCTTGGGTGGATGAAAAGTAAGGCTTTGTTGATGTGAATAGAGGAGTAACTTTGTAAAGATCGCCACTATGTATGAATCTTCGTGCAGGGTTTATTATGTCAGGTATATTATCTACTTTTAATTGGATCTCTAATACTTTTTGTTGATTTTCGGCATCCCGCATTCTGACAAAAATTGAATTATAATTGTTATTAAAGTATTATTCAATAGATCATGATTATAATTCTTATAAAAATTATTATAAAAGAGATTTTTATAGAAATTCTTATAGTAATTATAAAAATTATTTATAGATATAATTATATATATTATGAATTAAAATAACGTACTTTTCGTTAACTTCATCTGCTATTATATTAATTTGTCGAACACATTTCTGGAGGTCTATAAAATCAGGATGTGCTTCATCTGTATGCTTTAGCAAAGCTTCTAATAACAATTTGTATCGTGGAATTCGTTGAATCGGCAGACTCAGAAACGAATTAAATGTTAATCCACCTAGTTCTTGTTTCGATTGACATGACTAACAAGTAAAATTTAGAAATTAATAAAAATTTAATAAAAATTTAATAAATATTTAATAAGGAAATTAATAAATACCAATAAAAATTTTTTGAATTCTTTACTGGTTTTATTAAGCCGTTCCATTGTCGCTATTGCTCGTGGAAAACTTTTCAGATAAATTATGTACATCTTTAAAAATGGAGCCTTTAAAAATAAAAAAAAATTCAAAATTTAAAGTTAATAAGATAATTTAACAGTTCAAAGATTACCAAAATTTGAGATTATTATAATTATTATTATTACAGTTTGTAAGAATATATCGCTAATCTTTTCTGCAGGATTCCATGATCGATATCTATCTTCCAAAGATTTAAGCAATGACTTGTGTAGAATCAATAATTGTTCAATATTACCAAATAATATAGAAATATCTTCCAAACTAGCGATAGGTTTAATAGATAATAAACCATTTTTTTGACTTGTTTTTTGACAGATTTCTCGTAAAGGAAGTAAAAAAATATTAACAAGTTTTTCTAAACCATCAACATATTTTCTTTCGGTGGTAAGAATTTCTGAAACAGCAGCTTCACGTTTACGGTTTCTTGCTGCAATTTCTTTATTAATTTTATGAATTTTAGTTAATAAATAAATCTATCATTAATATAAAGTATTATTATTAATTATGATTATTACTATTATTATTTTTAACAATTACCTTCAGGAGTTGGACCCGGTTCTTTATCCTCATCATAATAACTGTCAACTAATTCAGTAACACTGATACCATTTGCAGGTGTGGAAGGTACTGGAGGTTCTTCTGAAGGTAAGGAATTTGGATCTAGGGGTGAAATGCCAATAAGTGTCACCTGCCGATTACGTAGTAATTTCGCTTTTATTCTAGAGGATGCCAATAATGGTACGTGATGATTATTATTATGTAAAGATTGTAAAGAAGCTTTTCGTCGAAGAGTTCTAACAAATTGTTCTTCATCTCCAACTGAATCAGACGTTGAAACATTAGGAATATTAAGTAACGGTGAACTTGGAGATTGTTTTTGAGTATCAGTTTCTGATTGATTAATATCACCACATGAAGGTGGTCGTTGTAATGAAGGAAGGAGTGGATGATTTGTTGTTGGTAAAGGTGGTGGAGGGTCATCTCCCATAGTAGTATAGTTTGGTAGCGTATGAAATGTATATCGATTATTACCAACAGCGTTGTCATTTTTTTGTTCATTAGGCCAAAATGGCATTGAACTTCGCATAATTATATAGCCTTCGTTATCCTCCCTGGTATCAT